TTTAAATAATAGACTAATCTATCATAAAATATTATATATTATGTCGAAATAGCCAATGGTTCAATAATTGCTAATTATATTTTCTCAAACAAATTTTTAATCATTTGCCATTTCAGATAATTTCCTCAAATATCAATAATTGAAAAATTGATTAATGATGGTACATGACTTCCTTTTCCATTTCCTTTCTGCAGTTTTCGAATTTCGTTTATAGACACATTATGTAAGTAGAACACTTTGGGATATTCTATTTGCTGTCGTTGTAATCATTTTCACAAAAATTGATTTGGTCTACAAACGAAACAAATTTGTAATCCATTCAGGCCGGACCATTCGGCTAGAGATTGTTTGCCAGCCCTGTTGAAATTACTATGTACTTCCAAGTATCAGAATTATTGGAATGCTTTGTGTAATGTGGCCTGTGCTCTATGCAGAAATTGAGCTAACGAAAAGGGCCGGCCAAATTGATTGCATTATCGAGCAAAAAGACAATGGGAGCAAACGAAAGGTTAAGGCAGTGGGACGGGGAGGGGTCACATAAAATCGAGCTGGGTAACAAACTTAAGTGCCGCATATAGATGAGAGGGAGAAGCGAAGAGATATGTGAGTGTGCTTCAAGGCTCATTTATGGCCACTGCGTGCTGGTCACTTTTATGCATTTTCCACACACAAAGCAAAACCAGTCATATAGTGTGAGGGAGGGAGGTTGGAAGGGTAACGAGTGTGGGCGATGGAGAGGCATGAGATTGAGGTAGGTAGAGCTTGGAGCATTGTCAGGCATTTTGGCACGTTGTTTACTTTGTGTATAAACCGAGTGGCACTTACTTATTTTGTGCCACATAATGAGCACTCCTGATGGCCGCTTATAAATTATATAGCCCACAGAGGCACACACACACTTCCGCAAGCCAACACACACACACACACACACCCACGCAATTTGATTTGTATGGCTTTTCAATTTGTGCTCTGCTGCTTTTCGCTTTTTTGTGTTTTTCTTTTCACTTTATTTCCGTTTTTTTCCTTTTCTTTCTTTTTTTTTGGTTGCCTGTTTTCGTTTTGCCTTTTCTTTATTTTCCTGCTGCTGCATTTGCCATTGTATAAATTTTTGGTATTTGCGCCAATTTCATTCCAAATTGAGCGCTACCCACAGTCGTTTATTTTTAATGCACCCAACAACGAATAACCAGCCAAGCAAAATGCCGGCCACCCACCCACCCAGCCAGCCAGCCAGGCAGCTAGCGGTGTGGGAGGGACAAACACAAACCTGAGCGCCTCGAGTAGTAGTTGTAGTACAACTAGATTCCTTCATCCTGCTCTTAGCTGCATTACTTTCGCTTTACAGATTAGAAGAGAGCATTATTATTTTCAGACTTAACTTAAGCATCTCGCATTGAGGTACATTAACGCAATTTTCATTATATACATTTTAATTTGATGGTCGAATCATTTCGAGTGAAGTCTCTTTATTATGTTATATTCTGTTTGATATCGTTTCAGTTTGAGCATTTAAGTTTTTGTAGTGTGTGATTACTGTGAGATTAATGTAAGGATAGGTGCATAATGAGGATGAAGATACTGTTACTTATACTGTGAGGGTCTTTGATATTACCTTGACATAGCTGTATTGTCCCTTTATTTTTGTATAGCAATTTAATGTTGTACAAATGTTTATAAATTGTACAAGAAATACTACCTAGAAATAYAAGAAATACTACCTAGTATATACAATTGTTTTAAGTGTTAAAATTGACTCAAAAACATATTTTAAAGTGACAGCTTAGTTTATATATCATACATAATAAAAAATAATAAAATATAAAAAATAAAAATATTTATTATAACAATATTTATCGATTTGATATTTTAGTATTTTTATCTAGTTAGTTATTAGATATTTATTTTATTGTTTATTATTATTTTTATTGGAATAGTTAATTATATTATTGTTATTTTTATTAATTCAAAAAGTTTATCTTAGCTTTTAAGTAAAATACAGTTTTGATAAAATAAGATATATTTTCATATATTTGATTACATAATACATATTGTTTATATTGTTATATTAACGTAAACAAATATCAATATTATATATCAATTTATTTATATACACTTTTTTGCATTTTAATTATTTACTTATACAACAAACTTTCATATTTTATGTATTTATTTTTACAGTAATAAAATTTATATATTTGTACAAATTGTTATTGATTTGTTTTCAAAATTCTTAACTTTTAACTTACGCCCTTCGGTCTTGCAATTTATTTGAATATCAATAGAATT